AACACTGCGTCATCAAATCGAGGTTCTGCAGCAAACGCGGGCCAAAATCGCTTGGGTTTGGAGGAAGCAGTCTTCGCCAAGAACTTGCGGTGATTCTGTTTCAGGGTTTGAGCTCTGCCAGAAGAAAGCGCCGTCGCTGAATCGAAGCTACCTGCTGTGTTTGCTGGTGATGGCGCTCTTAAGCGCGGTTGTGCAATATTTTGTTTTGCTTTTTGCGGGCGTTGCGGGAAGCGTCCCTGAAGTAAGTTCGGAGGAGGAAGGAGCACGCTGGCCTTGCTCTGGCAACTGAGGAATCTTTGGCATTGTTGAGAGCAAAATTTCCTGACGCACGGCAATGAACGCAAGTCTAGAGTCGAGAATTGCGGCTGGTTGTCCAGGTTGCAGCTGAGTCATTGCAAGTGTTGATAAACGACTCCATGGCCCGACAAGAAGCTGACCAATGCGAGCGGGCAAGGGCTCAAGATCCAGCGGGGGTGGGGGAATTGAGCGTCAAGACCCCAATGCTTTGCCAAGGATGCTTCCGAGCTGTGTCCCAAAGGTGCTTCTGTTATTCCCACTATTGCTGTTTCCTTTGTTTGTGCGCGTTGAGAAGGGTGGGCTGAATCGTTTTCAATGCCGGGGTACTGCTTATCCCCGGCGCATCACACTCCAACGCAAGGTTGCCCTGCAAAGCTGCTGTTCGGTCTGAATGTCGCAGCGGACCGGAGTTGACCCTGACAAGCAATTTTTGATTAGGAGGCTTGCCGCCCCAAGTTAAAATAGATTTGGCGACGGCCTGCGGGGCGCAGTACCCCTGCGTGGAAGAAGCCAACAAGCGCAGCGTAATTGCGGCCATGACGCTGCCCCGGTTGTCGTGCGAAAGTGACTTCAGCGGAGAATGCCCTGCAGGTGTGTTGGTTGAACTTTGCACGTTTCTTCGCAGCGCCTATTCCAATTGGAAGGGTGGACATCAGAGACCAGGCTTGGGTATTGCGTAGCCCCGTCTAGCTACACAGGGAGGTGCGGTGTCCGCATCAAGTTGCGGCGTGCGTCAGAGCTTCAAAAGAAGATCGTAAGCGATGTTTGTGGAGCGGTGTGGCCCTGCAAAAGGATCCGAGGTGCAAGACTTGAGCGTAGAGCAGCAGCCAAGCCTGCTGGTCACGTTAAACGTGTCAGATTCGGGTGCGCTTCAGCTTTCTGTAAAAGGCGTGTAGGCGTGGGTGTGTGGTCGGTTGCTACACAATGTCGAGACGCAAGCCTGCCTGCGTGCGTGAAGCTAACTCTTCACTTCTGCCCCTTCTTATTTTCAGCTCAGTTTGGTGAAGGGTGGGTGAGACAGCTTTTGAAAACCCCGTCCGCCCGACCCTTGATGCTGTGTTGGGACGTGCGCGCAAGCCGCGAGTGTACAACAAAAGGGGACTTGTTTGCAGTGAGTGGTTCCAGTAAGTGGGGGTTGCTTTTGGCGTTGGGCAACGTTTGATGGCGGTTGTGTGAACCTCCGCCATGGTCCTTTGCTTGGCTGTGTTCTTACCCTTGCATGGCTGGTTTGCTGCGCTGGTCCTGGTCGCATTTGTCCCCACTCCATGAAATTGCGAAATTTAGAAGTGGCGCGTCTGGTGCGCAGGGCTCGCTTCCGGTTGGGTTTGGCGCTTAACCTTTCCTAAAAATTGCTAAGCGCATTGTTCCAACTGACAAGCCCAAGTGCTCGGTGAGGAGTGTGGAGTGCTGGGGGCTAATGGGGTGTAAAGGTTTCTGTTTGTTGCTTCAGACCATTGCTAAATCGCGTGCTTTTTGGGGGTGTGCGCTGGGGTGGGGCTGGATACAGCTAGTGTATAACTGTACGCGCAAACCTCTGCAATGTGGTGCATTGCGCTGGTGTTCGTGGTTGGTCGGCCAAGAACACCAAGCCTCTCTCCCACCTAACAACCTGGCATGCTGCCAACATGTCTTGTGAAGTTTGAGCAGCTTGCTGGATGTGGAGCTGGCTGCTTAGTACTGCGCCGCAGCTTTTCCCACCCGCCCACCCTGAGCTGTGGAACAGCTGAGGAAGAGAGAGAGAGAGAGAGAGAGAGAGAGAGAGAGAGGAGAAAGGAAGGCGTGGGTTCCACCCATCCACCATCCACCCGCCCTGCGGTTGCCATCAGGTAAACGTTTCTGTTGGCAGTTGCGGCCCCCCCACCAGCCTGCTGCCCACGCGCGAACGTTGGCGCGCGCGTTCTTCTAGACCGGGGTTTGATATTTTTGATAGGATGGGTGAGTCAACCTTGTGCGAGTGGCCTGGAGGGTGGTGTGGGCGGACGCTTTTGTTCCAAGCCAGTAGCTGTACACGCTTTAGGTAGGGTTGGTTGGTGCTTAGAGCAAAAGGTTTGATAGTCCGGCGAATGAGAGTGCAGACATGGTGCTGGCGCAAGTGCAATGTTCATGAAAAGCAATCACAGAGACCAGCGCCAACGCGCTTGCTCGGGTGCTGTCCAAAGGTGCGCCGAAGACATGGCTGTTTGCTTTTTGGCCCGCCTTGCCTGGGTGACCTGGATGCTGGCCGTGGTCGCCATTGGCATGGACCCTTTTGCGCTTCTTGCGACGCAGCCGGTGGAGTGATATGATTCTGACAGCTATGGGGGCCCACTGCTTTTCTCAAGGTGTGGCAAGCTGGGGTGACGGCGCCTCAGACAGACCCAGCTTTGCTTGACCTATGCAGTTTGTAAACACCTTGGAGCGAGTTCTGCTAATCTTCACAACCCTTCAAGGCCTATGGAAGTTAGGGTCGACTACGACGGTGTGTGAGTGAACGGGCCTTCCCCTCAGCAATTGGTTGCAAGATGTTCAGTGCCAGCGACTAGTTCAAGCTCTGCAGTGAAAGAATTGGCAGAGGACGTGTCTGCGTATCTTGTGCTGAAGGTGTTGCTTGTGGCCAGCAAGGCAGAGAAATTGGAAAAGCTCCTTGCCGAAGGGTTGCGTTGGCTGCTTTTGTGAGATCATGACAGACGTTCCGTTTTGCCCTGCAGGGAAGAGAAGTTGGCTCTAGCAAGTGGCCGACAAAAGCTTCGAGCAAGCAATTCCTAAATGCAGCGACGTTCCAGATGAGCCAGAATGCCCGCCAGCTGTGGGCCGATCCTGTTTCTAAAAGGGAATGTAAAGTGGATGCTAGCTGCTAGTTGTTTGTGATTGAAATGGGGTTTGGGAGGCATATGGCCCCACCTCATTGAGTCATTGAGTATTGAGCGGCAGTTCGTGCTGGTGTATTTTGCGCGTCTGGTCTTGCTTGGCGCGTATAGTTCAGTAGCACTTTGGGAGTCTGCGCTGGGGTGGGGCTGGATACGGCCAGGTACACCCAAACCCCAATGCTACACCCCTGCACCATCCCCTTCGCGCTTTGAAGGTAAATATCGAGGTTACTTATGCTTGTGTGAGCAACACCAGTGCCTGGGTTATCCTTCATGCGTTGAAGGTAAATGTTCGTGGCCCAAGTGTGAGCTGCAACAGGGCTTGGGCTGGGTAGAAATTGAAGGCTGTGCGTACTTTTGCTAGCCCTAACACTCACCCTTCTGGTTCTATTTCTCACGCAGCTGAGCCTTGCTTGTGGTTGTGAAGTGAAGTGGCAGCTGCGTTGATTGAAACCACCCTATTCATTCACTCCATGGGTCATCATGCGTCTGCCACTGGTTGGACCAGTGGCAGCCCATGCTTGTGCAGCTATCCCTGACCAGGAAAAAGGGTGCGCCCGGTGCAGACGTTGGGCGGGGTCACTAGAACTAGTTGGGTTGAGCGTTGCTTTATTCTACTTGTAGACGTCGCCTTGTTGAATACCAACCATGTTGAGAACAAACTCATAAGCGCGGACCAGATCACCCTTAGGCGAACCTGCAAGCCCTCACCTCTACGCGCGCGGTTGCAGCTTCAGTGGCAGCTCCTTGCTGGGCGCAGGTAGTTAGTTGACCCCTCTCTCCCCAGTTCTTAGTAACCTATGGCGTAACTGATGTCCTCTGCTAGTCAGACAGCCCAAGATGCTGTTTCCAGCCCTGCAGCTCTTCCCCTTGGCATTGTTGGTCCTTCCAAAAAGGAGTGTGCTTGGAAAGGCAGGGTTGAATGTTTTGGCGCCGCTTGTTTCTTTTTTGTTGGCTTGTGGCGTCTGAGGTTCTCAACCTTGGAGGGCATGCCTGCTGTCATGCTATCTTGGGTTCTTTTGTGGCCTCGTGGTTGAGTCCGTGTTTGTGCCAAATTGGTGCAAGGGTTTCTCATGTGTAAACCATTGCTCCTGCTTTGGTGATGAAATGTTTCTCACCGCCCGCAGTCGCAGCAGCAGTGTACCCATTGTGGTCTTTGGCGACTTTGCGCGCTGTAGTGATTCTTGCGTTGACCGCAGGTCATGTCCCACCCTATCAGCCATTTGGCCCGCGCGCAGCGCGGTGGCCCTTTTGCGACGGGAGAGCTTGAGCACTTCTGGGATGTGGGCCCCAGAGGTTCCCTTGTGAAGGGCGTCCTGATTGGCAGTCGCCTTGCGTCGTGTCTAACAACTGTACACACCTGGACGTTGATGCGGTTCGCAGATGATGTGTTTGACGTTTCGCAGATGTAGCCATCTATACACGGGCAACATGTAAGCGCTTAGGGTGGGTTGGGAGTGAAGCTGCGTAGGGATCAAGAGGCTCGTGTAGTTTTTGGGGAGGCCTGCCACGCGAAAGCTTCTCTCTAACTCACTACCGGCAATTTTAAGCTTCTGCCAGTTGCCTTTGTTGCTTTGGTTTGTGTTTGGGGATGTGTACGCGAGCGTACAACAAACGGGGATTTGCTTGCAATGACTTGTTCCAGTCTGTTGGTTTGACGTTCTGGTCACCATTTTGTTCGAATGCTTGAGTTCAGCCAAGTAGGGTTGCTCAGGAACGTTGCAGGGATACTCTGCATAAGGGAATCACTCCACACCCCAATCCCCTTTCCAGTTGAACATATTGTTCCTTGAGTTCAGGTGCTGCCTTTTGTCTGAACAGGTGTTCTTTGTTCAGGAACTGCGTCCTTGCTTGCACCCTGCCCACCCGCCCCAGATGGGAGCTGTGGTGAAATGTGCGAAGCCATGCGATTCCTTAGGAGTCTATGGCGCCATCCCAATGGATGGTTGTTTAGGGGACCAGGGTTCCACAATTGGTGCCAGGTCTGAGGTGCTCCCAGCCTGGCACCACCCCTTGGACTTGCTGCCAAAAGCCGTGAGCGCTGTTGTAGGAAAGAGAGGGTTTGGGCTAGGAGTGATCATTCGCAAAGAAGCGCGCTGCGCGCGCTTGCGACTCTGGCGTTGCATACTTACTGCTAGGTAGCTGAGTTTGTAGAGGTAGCTGAAAGTTCGCGTAGTGGAAAGTGCAGCTGTTGCAATGAAGGCTAGCTTGCTGCTTTTTTGGTATGCCTTGGTTGTGCTTGCTTGCGGTGAAATGCAAATTCGGCGCGAGGCTGGGTTGGCAGCCCCGAGCCTGCTTGCCCCACAAGTTTTCCAAGATGCAGCCAGTGAAAGCTCAGAGCAGGCAGCGGGATGAAGTCTGCCTGGCAGTAGTTGTTTACTTGCGACATTTTCCGGAGGAGATAGTGCTGCGCGCGCCAGCTGAGGGCGAAGTTGATTTTCATCGGGCTACGAATGCTTTAGCGAAGGCGGCAGTTTCGCGCAGCGAAGGCAAAGCTTTTTTTTATGTTTTTTGGGGCGAGAAACGCGGCAATGCGGCGCGGAGTTGGTGCACTGTGTTTTTGCAACCTGCCCTTCCAGGCACAGATGCAGACAGGGAAGGAGAGGAGCGACGCGAATGAAGCACGTTGGCAATCCCTGCTCCAAACAGAATCCGAAGCAGTGCGACGGTTGGTCGCAGCGGCGTTCAAATGATTTGAGCCGAATTGCACGAAAGCAGCCCCAAGATGCTGTCCGGACACGCGACCGCCTGGAAACGGGCGTGCGAAGCCAGTCGAAAGCAGATCTTGAGAATGTCATGCGAGTCAACCGTTCAGGGCAGGGTCAAAAGACCTACCTAGCTGATCCTTGTTGGGTTGCGCACGCTTACACCGATGGGGATAGGCGAATCTTGATGAGGGGGAATTTAAGATTTTGAATTGAATTTGGAACCTAATCCTCGAGGGCGCGTCGTGGGTTGGGACCCCTCTTTTGATGCGAGTGTGGGCCCTCGTGTGGTGTCCCGCCCGCCCACCTCTCGATTCTCGATCTTTTCTTGCCTTTGCGCGATTTAGGAGGCCTCTGGACTCTGGATCCTGTCTCAAGGTTCTCTTGGCGGATTTGCTTACCTGGATTTGCTTGCCTCAACTTGTGTCTATTGAGAGAACGGAGCCCAGCTCTGAAGATGTTTGGACTAGGGTTTGGTGTCACCGGCGAACCCGAGGCCTCTGGGCACCTTTCTGACTTCGGTCCTTTGTTGTGTATTTTAAGGCTCAGGTTAGTGAGGTGTGTGAACCCATTCTTTTTTCGCAGTGGGGAAATTGAAACCCTTTTAGTTCATGCGTTTTGTTTGAGAGACAACGTGCGTGTGTTTGCTTTAGAGCAGCGCTTTGCTTGCGATGTACCGGTGTTCGCGGTTGGTCGGGGTAGGCAGGAACACCAACCCTCTCTCCCACCTAGCATTAATGTGTACCTTGTCAGTCTGGACAGCTTGCTGGTAACAGGAGCAGCTGCTCCCTGGTTTAAAGTTTGGTGCTGTGCCACACAGCTTTTCCCCCCCGCCCACCCTGAGCTGCGGAGCAGCTAAGGAAGAGGGAGGGGAGAAGGGATGCCTGTTGGCAGAGTCCTGCATGGATGGCTTGTCCCTTCATCTTGCAAAAGGTCGGCGCGCCTGCTCTAGGTTTTGTAGTTCCTTGAATGGTAGGATGGGTGAGAGGTGATTGTCTTTTGTCGCCCTCGCCTCTCTAAAACTAGGGGTGTGTGTTGTTGCCCTCCATACTGATGCTTTGTCTTGAACATGTTGGTGTTCTGTGCGCCAAAGACCCGTGGGCTCAGACCTCAGGCTGCCAGTTTCTGACAGTGGAGAGACATTGTGAGTTCTCGTTGGCTTGATTATGGAGGAGTGAGCCACGAGGCCATTCGCCTTCCTTCTTTCCAGGCTTGGTGTTCACAGCGACGGAGAAAAGGAAGAACCGTCAAGAGCTTGCCAAGATGAAGCAGAGCTGCTTGACATGCTTCTTGATTCTGCCAAGTGCTGCTTGGGCAATACTGCGCCGTGCGCCAGCCTTGGATGATTCGCAGGAGATGTTCCGCCTGATTGGGTAGCCATGTCGGAGCAGCTTTTCAAATTAACGGGTTTTGTGTTTGTACCGGAGTCTTGGTTTGGGGCTGTCCAAAACGATTCATTATGGTCCAATGATTCACGCATGGCAAATGCTTCGGCCTGGAAGGAGCTTGCAAGCAGCGCAGAAGCAGCAGGGAGTTTGTACAGGAGAGTGTAACGCTGCAGCGCTGCTGCTCTTCTGTTTGGCGTCGATTTTTGGAGGCAGCGAGCGGCAGAACTACCTTCCTTTGACGATGGCCTAAAAATGATTCATGTGGACACTGCCCGGCAGATTTCTAATCTGGCGCGGATAAGGAACGCATAAGTTGCCCTGGATGCCCACGTAAGATGTGTTTGCGCAGCAAGCAGAGAGACTTCGCGAGATTGATGACGCAGCGATGGTTTGCCCAAAGTGATCTTGAGCCCGCGAGCAAGCCTGCGTTGCCGGTGTCAGGCCTCGTCTGCTGCGTGTGGAAATTGCGTGAAAGAGTATGGCAGCCCTCACCCATAGAAGCGAAGGAAGCAATTCGTTTTGCTGCCCAGCTACAAACAAGAATGTCCCAATGTATCCGGCCAACAAAACCTGTCCGCGCTGCAGCGTTTTGTTTGGCCTCTTGCTTGCAGGGATAGACAGCCGACCGCGACCTGCAGAAGTGCAGAGCTATGGTCTACGAAGGGCCTTGCCCATCCAGCGCAAGTATTGCAGGGTTCAGCGCTGAAGACAAACAAGATCTTGAAGTAACCTGTGACGCAAGGGCTTGGAGCCAAGAGTGCTCTGTATGCTGAGCTGAGTTGTTGCTTGTGGCTAGGTGTGCTTTTGCAAAATGGTGGGTGAAACAGTTCGCGCTCCCGTATATTCAAGCCAAGCCGGTGCAGTCGATAGCAAGGGCGCAGGCGAGCTGGGGGGTCGTAGTGGAAATACTTTGCCCAACGGCCCCATCAAATAGCGAAATCGGGAAAGTTGCAAGTGGCAGCCATTGATTGCCTTTGAGAGTGGCGCGTGGCGTCTCAAATATAGCAAAGAAGGCAAGGCCCCATGACGTGTATCAGGGGCCGTTGAAGAAATCAATAGCAGTTTATTGTTTTTACAGTAGTGAGATGGCGACCGGTAACGAACATCCTTGTTTGATTGCTTGATGGAACTTTTGGTTTTGCCAATTATAAGTGACCGGGGACCTTGTTGTTGTGTTGCTCCTGTGGCTCCAGTGTGTACTTTTCTCCAACCCAACCCGCCCTGTGCGTGGCAGGGGTGTTGCGTGTGGGCGACCGGGGGTCTATGCAAACGCAGGTCTGCCCCGCAATATCAATTTACCGCCCCGTTTGCCCGCTTCGGCTGTAACGTCTAAAGAGGATGCGGTCAACCTTGAAGGGATGGGATTCTGGCGCTGTCAACTTTTGCGACTGATCTGTTATATACAAGACACTATAGTTTCGATTCGCGGGATGGGAGGTGCAGGAGTTGACTGGACACGAGGTGATGACCAGCGACCACGTGCTTTTTGGGCTTCCCTGGCAGCTTGTTTGCTTGTACCGGTGTTCGCGGTTGGTTGGGGTAGGCAGGAACACCAACCCTCTCTCCCACCTAGCATGCATCTAATTTTTGTGTTTGATTAGTTGGAGCAGCTTGCTGGGTGTCAGGAGCGGCTGCTCCCTGGTTTAAAGTTTAGTGCTGTGCAACAGCTTTTCCCACCCGCCCACCCTGGGAATTGCCCAACGGGCAAGCTAGGGGATTTGAGAGCGTTCAAGTGGGGGACTGGTCTTGGCAGGTCTTCCCCTTAAGGGTTTCTGTTATAGATTTTTAAATAAGGAACCAAGGGTGAAACCTCATGTACCTGACCAGGTTAGCAACGGCAACAGGATTGTTGCCTTCACCAGGGGATTCTGGTTGTTAGCAGCTCCAGACGCGAGAACAACAAAGAGCGCCGGTGTCCGTCAAGTCGAACGGGGAGGGCGATCGGCTTTTGGTCCTAAGTTTGTAGGGTGGGCGGTTGCTTCTTCTTTTGGTGCCACGCAAACGCGGTGAGATCCCGGGCTGTGGAGCAGCTAAGGAAGAGGGAGGGGAAAAGGGAAGCCTGTTGGCAGAGCCCTGCATGGATGGCTTGTCACTACATCTTGCAAAACAAGGTCGGCGCGCCTGCTTTGTGTTGTAGTTCCCAGCTTGATAGGATGGGTGAGAGGAACGTTTTCCATCATGTTCCTTTCTTGACTCCACCTCCACACGGCGCGCGCATAAGTGTTGGACATGAACGGGTGGACGGGTGGACCTGCTGCTAGTGGCCCAATCATGGTTTTACATTTCCACGATGGGCAGCTCCCGCGCCCTAACGTTTGTCTGAGCCAGCGATTACAGCGTAAAGTCAATCACCCATCCGTATGTGTCGGTGTTGTGCAGGACAAGCGTCCATCTGAGGGTCTGTTGCCCCTGTGTTTTGCAGGCTTGCCGCCCTACGGCGTGCTTTGGGTTAGGCGCATGTGGGCATAATTATCAGCTACGCCCATGTGGTAGTTGGTTCGCTTTGGTGGCCAAATGGGGTACCGGTGTTCGCGGTTGGTCGGGGTAGGCAGGAACACCAACCCTCTCTCC